CCCCGCCCCCACGCACGCACGCACGCACGCACGCACTGCGCGCACATAAGTCACTCCATAAAGGCACACAATCTAATAATAATTAAAAGCAAAAAGTAAAACAATGGGTTGAAATGATATTTATAGCATATGAAATTCTAATACTTTAGGTCTGAATTCTAGAGGCATTTTACTGTGGGCCCCTCATATTCTGACTACATTCTGTTTTACTCTATGAATGAAAATCTCAGTTTGTGAGTCAAGTCACTTCATCGTGAAATTGGGTCCTTGATCTATTACTTAAATTAGGTGTGTTGGTCCCCATACGTGGCCAGGATTGTTTCTGATAGTTCCAAATACAGTAAATTCACAGCCATGAATGGATTTGATAACTATGATATGATCCCTGGTCATTTTGGGTTTTCTTTTCTAATCTGCAGTTTATAATGAAACAGAGCTGAGACTCCCACACACTGCAGAGTGCTCTGAGGGTTAAATAGGATTATTTGTGTTTAAAGGCTTTGCAAACCACATACAGTGTTGATCAGCTTGTTAAATTTGACTTTTAAAATCATCACCGCTATTTTGCCTTTACAGTTTACATGATGAGAATGTTGAAAGGAGAGTATAAGGGATTGGCACTGTGATTACAGTCCCAACCTAGTGTTCTTCTAATATGAATTTAAGCGACAATTGGGTACAGCTAAACTCTGAAAAACAGTAAACTGGTGAGTTTTGAAGCATCAGTCAGCTGTTCTGTATCTGGGAGTAGATGGTATTTATAATTGAATTCACACATGGTATTTTTGTTGTCAGGTTATGGGGGAAATTGATTTAAGTCTTTACACATTGCAGTAAGTGGAGACTCATTAGATTCACGGTGGCAATAGCTGTGATACATTTTTAATTGGAAAAAATAATGCTTACCCATTCTTTGCTATTGTAAAGCAGACAGATCCCTTCCTTGACTTTATTGTTGACATGCTGAAAATACTGAGTGTCCATATTCTGGCAATAAGCTATCTGAAAAAGAAATTGAGACAACACTATGACCCAATAGCTGCAAGAAAGTATTGAGAATAAATCTAACTGGAGAAATGAAAGGTCTGTACCCTGAAAACTAAAGAATAGTGTGAGGATTGAGAACAACACAAATAAATGGAAAGATGTATTTGATCATTTGAATAATGAGTGTTTTTAAAATGCCCCATCACTCCAAACAACCAAAGGATTTGGTGCAGTCCTAACAAATTTCCAATGACTTTTCAAAGAAATACTAAAACTTCCTAAAAATATGTGTATATGCTAACACTTTTTATGGATTCAATTAATGTGCTATCTATTTCCCATATATGTTTAACAGAGTGAGATTTCTAAAGTAAACTATAATTGTTCTCTGTTACGTAGTGACAAGGACATGTGGTTACCAAAAGCTGGGGGGGGGTAATATTGTGATGATATAGTTGTCATTTTTTGACATAGTGAGGATTAAGATCCACTCTCAATAAGTGTGAAATTGGGTGTTAATAACCATACTCTTCACTATAGTGCACATCAGAGCTTCTGGATGCTTTAATCTTATAAAGATGAGATATTTGAAGCTTTAGCCAGTATCTCCTCATTTTCTGTATTCTCTCGGCAATGACAGCCAGCAGTCCACTGTCAACTTCTCTGAACTCAGTGTTGAGCAGATCCCACATGAGTCAGTGGTGAGATTACTTCAATAAGCCTCACGTCTTCCAGGTTTGTCACTGATGTTTCAAAATGACTGTGGGTTGGTGACACGGGACATATACTCCTCTCCAAATACCATTTGAGAACTGCTTTCCTTAGTCTATTTTCACACGGAAAAGATGGGAATTGTTTGAACACAACACAGACTGCATTTCTGACGTCCATCAGCCCTATGTACACAATATAAAGAAACCAAAATGCCTATAGTGAAAGAGAGGGTTTTTCTGGCCACCCAGCCCACTGCTTCCTCTCTCCTGCTTCTCCCACATCTCATCAATTCTGAGTTTGGAGTTCATGACTAAACCCTCTTCCAGGTTTGTCACTGATGTTTCAAAATGACTGTGGGTTGGTGACACAGGACATATACTCCTCTCCAAATACCATTCTTCTTATCGAGAACTGCTTTCCTTAGTCTATTTTCACACAGAAAAGATGGGAATTGTTTGAACACAACACAGACTGCATTTCTGACGTCCATCAGCCCTATGTACACAATATAAAGATACCTTCATGCCCATGGTGAAAGAGAGGGTTTTTCTGGCCACCCATCCCACTGCTTCCTCTCTCCTGCTTCTCCCACGTCTCATCAATTCTGAGTTTGGAGTTCATGACTAAACCATATGAAAGTTCAGAATAAAATTTCTCTTTTCCTAGGCAAACTTGCTGGGCTGGGCTTTCTCTAAGCCCATAGAGGAGGAGGTGGAATTAAATCTTATGTATTTCTTTCAACAAATATGGTGAGAAAAAATTGATCTTCCTGTTTCCACCATTGCACAGAAGGCTGAGAGTGACTAATTTCACTGATCTTTTCAAGAATCTATTTATATCGAGCCTTCTGGCTCAAGATTCCACTCCAGAGAGAGGCACACAGATTTAAATCCAGTTTTCTCCCAGGAGGTGTCAGAAAGGCAACCTGGCTCTAGAGTGGTTGGTTGTTTGTGTCTCACAGGACACACATCTGTTTGCCATTGTTCCTGATAGAGCTATGGTAATAGGCCAGAGAAACTGTAAAGAGTCAGGAATGTTCATTTTCTTGGAGTGTTCTTTGATTTTTCCCCCTCAAAGATGACATGTTTTGAAAACAGATTCCTGAAACATATGAATTAATTCATGTGATTTTTGTGGTGCCCTGTGTTGTATATAGGAAGATTTGGTACTTAGCAGTTATTCTTTGATGAAGGTTTTAGAAAGGTGTTGTTTGTAAGTCATCTTTATGAAACAAACTCTAGTGTATTCTTAATGTGAATTTATTATTTATTTGTTTTTAGATTCCCCCAGAAGCATAAAAGCATCCACTACTACAGCTGAGAGGTTTCTCCAGAAGCTGAGAAATAAGCACGAGTTCACAATTTTAGTGACCCTGAAGCAGATCCACTTGAATTCGGGAGTTATTCTCTCCATCCACCACCTGGATCACAGGTAGGTGGGACTTGTGAAGTTTCTGACATTTTCTTTGTGTGATTGTGTTACTCTGCAGAAGAGCTATAAGCACAAGCCTACTATGAGAGATGGTCTTTAGAGCACAGAGTTGTGTATTTCATTCAGAACTACAGGCAGAGTTCTGTCCAAAAGCAGAGGAAACCACTGCATTGAAGCATGCTGGGAGCACCACACAAAGATCCACATCTAAGACACATTTGTCAATTCCTAAATTCCACAGGGGCTATTTTCCTCAGTGCCAAACATACTTCTTAATTTCTTCTCATTACCCACAAACGTACTGCATTATCCATCCCACCTTTGGGAAAGTGGCTGTGCTTAGAATTTAGTCGTCCTCTAATTTTAATCATAAACAGGGAACTTGCCCTATAATCCACAGCACTCACAGCTGTGTTTGGGAGTGTGGATTGGCCATGCCTGGAATTTTTACATAGGTGCTGGGGAATCCATACTCAGATTCTCATGTTGCACGTCAAGCATTTTTACCTACCAAGCCATCTCCCAGCCCCCATTTTTTAAATTCTCATCTGTATGTTTAGCCTCATCATTTCATGGACATGTAAGGGGGTTTGTGGGTGTGTCCATGGGAACACACAAAACAATGTGAACATAAAGCAAAGGAAGAAACTCAGCTAAATGGTCAAGAGGATGACACCATTCTTACTGTTCAGACATTTTTCTGATGACTTTTAATAGGTATCTATAGTGACAGTTCCAGAAAATAAAGTTGGGAGTTCATGCCATGTGGTGGCATCTTGCCACAGTAGAATCCAGAAAATCAAATCACACATTGCCATCAACATATGTCAGAGGGTCTTTGAAACAGTTTGGAACCCCAGGGTGCTTGTAATGTGTGGGACAGTTATGTGCAACTGAGATTTTGTATTGAATAAGCTAGGGGATTCTGTTTTGTGACATGTTGGGTTTCCATATTAATTACTTTTCTTCCTGTAACTATGTCACTTCTAAATGGCAATGACTGGTGTAAGTCCAACTCTCTCTTTCTGGTTTATTATAGTAAGGGGTCTTCTGTCATCTGTAAGAGGTCCATAGTGCTGATTGTGGGCTGTGTGAGTTCGGGGACACTTCTTCTGAGCACATCTTTTGCATACCAGTTAGAAACTAAAGGACAAGAATTTGTGGGTTTAGGTGATGTGACTTAGAGGATAGTGTCTGTAAGGAAGCTAGATCAACAGTATTATCAGTAGAGATGCTTTGAGGATGCCTTTGTCCTGACACTGGTCCCCATCCTCTGGGCTAATTGTATTGAGGCGTGGCTATCAGTCATGGGGAAGTAAGGAGAAGGCAGGAAGTGATGGAAACTATGGAGACACTGGCTCAGCTCTGGGACATGCAGGCTGAAGCAGAGCTATTCAGTAGCAGAGTATCTGTCAGCACAGATGCTGGATCGCTCTTTGGATGCATAGCCTCCTTCCTCTCTACCTGCTCAAGTCTACTCGAGCCTCCACAAGCTATATCTGTCCTTTCTAGTGCCCACCTATTTTTGCTGGGTTGCAACTGCTCCCTTGGGTGAGGGGGTGAGAAGGCCTGACACCAGTGGCATAGACACCAGGAGTCAGGTAAAATCAAACAGCAGACTTGTTTATTCAGCAATGGGGAGAGCCTTATATATCCTCATTCCAGCCCCCCAGGTTGCATTCCAATCTGGTGACATTGTGTAGTCGTCCCTTGTTGGCTAGGCACAATCAGGACCTCTGACAGTACCTGTTGCTAGGCCCTCAGGCAGACTCCAGGTTGGCTCATCTCTGGTGTCTTAGGCCTTATCTTCCTACATCTCATCTCTTCTCACATTGGCTTCCGGGGCAGAGTTAGTCTCCCTATTTTTGGTTTTCTCATGTAAAACACTTCTGCTGATTGTTTACATAGTTCATGTATATACACTTGTGTTCATTCTACACAAGACATTGAATGGCCTTCCTAAGACTTTAACATTTTTAATACAGTTCCTCATGTTGTGGTGACCCCCAACCATAAAATACTGCATTGTTGTTTTGTAACTGTAATTTTGCTATTGTAATGAATAGTAATGTAAATATTTGGTATGCAGGGAATCTGATATGTGACTCTCTAAAGGGTTACAACCTGCAGATTGAGAACCACTGATGTAAAAGAAACAAGTTATCACCACTCCTGTTCCCAGTCAGCCAGGGAAACCAGGTTTTTTTCATTGAAGACTTTACATTTTGTATTTATTTATTTATTTATTTATTTGTTTGCTTGTTTGTTTAATACCATAATGTGTGGGTGTTCACATGTCACAGTACCAGTGGAGGTCAGAGGACAACTTACAGGAATTGTTTTCTACTCCCACCATGTAGGTAGGTTCTGAGGACCAAGCTTGGGTTGTCAAGCTTGGTAGCAAACACCTTTGACCATCTCACTGGCCCCATGGAAGGCATTTTACAAACAAGAGTGCAATACAAGTAGACCTCATCTCAGCAGTGTGTTGGTGCTGGCACACACAATGCCCAGTAACCATTGGAATGTCATGAGCTGGTAGGTTATGGTGGGGAAATTCTTGAAATATAGAAATCAGCAAGTGTGACAAAGCACAGCTTTTAAAATATGTATTTTTGATAAACTTTAGCTTTTGATATTCCTTATGTGATGACATCTGTGCAAAAATAGACACTAGAAAGATGACTGTGAAATGAGAAGAGTGTGGGGGAGCGGTTGACAGTGTTGTGGAGGGTCACAGAAGACATGTGACATGACAGTGGAAAGGTGACTAATGGGGAGAGAAGGAGGAAGGTAGGATGGGGTGAGATGGGATGGCGGAGGTGGGAAAAGAGCAACAAGATCTAAACTTGCATGGGACTCCCATAATGAAACCTGTCACTGGATATGCTATATACAAACTAACACAGCAGCCACCAAAACAACAATCTCTACACAGATAATTGAAACAATACCTTTGAGTTATTCTCTGGAGTGCAGAGAATCAGTGCCAAACATTCTGTAGCACAGTGCTTCCTGCCACCCTGGCACCTGGTGAAAACTGCCACGTGACTGCCTAATCCTTTTCTTCAATTTGTTTGTGTGAAATTTTACATGACTGGCAACGAATTTCTGCTAAATAGTTAGGTCATTACTGTCAAGGGTTATATGTTTTTATATATTCAACTTGAAAACCCCATTCTGCATATCATGTTGTCACATGGTTAGATGCTTAAAATTTAATAAATACTTGACAAATGCAGGGACAAGTAAAAGAAAGTAGGAATATGTCTGTGACCTGGGATCAGAAAATTCATCACTGCTTCCATCCCCACGGACAGTGGAACTGGGAAAATGCTCAGGTGTCTATGGATACATCAGTGCCCGGTCAATTCTGAAATATCATTTGCTCTAGCATGAGTGATCCAATCCACTGACAGGCAACCGCTGTACCAAAACAGCTGTAAGACAAGTTCTCCAAGAACAACAGTTCCTGTAATGAGCCATTCCACAACTGGAAATCTAATCATTCCACAACTTAATTGGTTTGGACATGGATTGATGGGCCTTGCCCTGAATTCTGGAGGACCCAAAGGCAGCTAAGAGCAAGAAAGAAGAGAAGACCATCATGAACATCTCAGAACTGGAAGCAGATGCTAGTCAACCACGTTGTGCAAACAGCACCTTACAACAGTTTAACTCTGAAACTACGAGTTCCTCACTGGCAGTGCACCAGGGAGCTACAAGGAAAGCTCATTTGCCTGCCCATCTGAGATACTGGCTTCAGATGGTGTTGTCCAAAGAAGGCTGCTATTAAAAATTAAAGCACAAGTTTACGTGAGCATCATGTAAGAAGACTTATAGGCTCATGTTTTCCTGAGTATGCATAACTATCTCCATCTCCTACAAACATCTGACAGATGTGTGCGCCTCTCTGAAAGAATGAAGAAACTCGGGATGGTCAATGCAGTCTGCTCTGTACTTCACATTTCTGAGGATTGCTTTTCAAAGAGAAAGAAGAGAAAAATGGGTCAATAATTTTAGGATACTGCTAACAATTTCCTCAGTAACTGGAGGAGAAAAATATATACAAAAGTAAAAGCTTGCTAAGAAAGCAAAAATAGATTTGTCAGTAAAAAAATGAGAACTTTCTCTGTAATTTCCAAAGGCCTGTTTCCTTCCTTTGTGTTTTTCAAAACTGTAGTTTCTTTCAGATAAACACAGTCTGCATTACAGTTGTGGTATGATTACCTGGCCCATCTTCTCTATAGTTGATGAGATTTCTCTCCTTTTATGAAGTGGTCTTTGGATTTACCTAAACTGGTTCTCATTAAGTTGCTATTAGAATTTTCCTTCAATCCAAGTGTTATTTATGCTTCTAGTTTTGAATGCTCTACAAATAGGATTCACGGAGATAATTTCTGCCAATAGCTTTGCAGATAAATATAAAAATGTCTTGTAGCTTGCCATCATTTTCTGTATTAATCAACGTGAGATAAAAAAATGGCTTTTGCCACTCCTTTAATATTAATTACTATACATTCTGGGAGATGGAGAATACATTCACACTTCAGGTTGATAGGATATACTTGTGAGTGCTTGTCATGCAGTAAGCTATTTTCTTTTGTGATATAAGTATGTAAAAATTAGACTTGATGGCAAGAGAATACATTCACACTTCAGGTTGATAGGATATACTTGTGAGTGCTTGTCGTGAAGTAAGCTATTTTCTTTTGTGACATAAGTATGTAAAAATTAGACTTGATGACAATATTTGCTTGACTTAAGGTTTTGAAGTAAAAGATAGCCTTGTTTATTGTGGGTAAAATTAAAAGGCTGACATCAAAGCAGCTGCACCCTTCATTCTTTGGCTATGTGCTAATAACATTAAAGGTAATAGGATTTATAAATTAAAACTTCAAACTCCAAGTTCTACATGATTTAAAACCCCTTACTCAAGTCTTGTTCTCCCTATAATAGTGTTTCTATATAATTATTTATCTTCAACAAAATTGTATTTC